AAAAAAAAAAAAAAAAAAAAAGTAAAGAAGCATGGAGTTTAGTATGACATGACATCTTCTTTATTTTATTCAATTTTTAAAATTTAAGATACGAGAGATAAAAATGGTAAATTTCACCGTAAAAAATGAAAAGATTTACTCGTGCATATCTTTTATCGATCAATCGAGAAACTCATATCAAGACGAACGAGTTGCGAGGCTGTTGAGGTACAAAGGGCAAAGGGTAAAATTGTCCATTATAAACATTTTACTTGTGTTAGGCTATTGAGGCACAAAGGGTAAAGGGCAAAATTGTCCAAACATTTTACTTGTGTTGGTGTTGTGTGGAACGGGACGATCCTATTAGGTTAAATATTTAGCTACGAACTCGTATCTTCCTTTTATTATCGTATTTTTTAAAACGAGTTACTGGGTAATAAGCTTGAAGGTTTTCTTATTGATGATAGCAGTGATATCGACCGTGACCCTGATAAGAGCTTTTCATAATGATGAATTTGTTGTGGTCGTGATGCTCGTATTTTACATTTAACGTCTTTCTTTCGTTATTGTTAACGAAAACAATTGTGAAAATTGCATTTGGTCAACCCGAACATACTTCAACTGATTAAATTATATGCCGTCGATTTAGATGAATCTAACTCAAACTTTATTAAATATCATTCATGGTCACATGGAGAAAGCTTTTAGCCAATAAAACCCTAACATGTTGGGTTTTGGAGGGCTCACACTCCTAATAATACACTACAATCTAATCATGGTGTTGTAAAGAGTATTGATTGGTAGACTTTTCGTTGGCTCTTAACGGTGTGACGTTACCCTTCGGTTTCATATAATGAATTGACACGTATTTTTGATTAGAGGTAGAGATGTCCATGGAACGTGGCGGAAACAGGGAAGTCTTCTCGGTCTTCATCCCTGTATTCTTATGAAATACATCGTTTCTAAAAACTCAAATTTCAATATTACAACGAACACGCATATATCTAAGTGAGCAGGGTGTCACGGTCATGCTCGTAAAGTGCGATTGTGACACAGGGCTCGACGGGACGGAGTGGAGATTTGGGCAAGGACGAGAATATAGAATATAGTCCTCGTCCCTAACCTCATTTAACGAACGGGGAAAAAAATCTCCTCCTACTCATTTCCACATTCTCGGGGATTGTCTACTTCATTCTAGGGCAGGTCCTCACGGTTTAATCAAACCTCCTACATTCCCCATGTATCAGCAC